TCACTGGTTATCTGTTAGATATGGGATGAAAGGCTGATTACAATCAACAAAGCTTATCAAATTCTATCAAGTCACTGACACAGCATTTCCCAGCATGAGAAAACAAAAGATTAATGTCCAATGTCTCTTAGGGAAATGGAGATAAATGACCATTGCTTTAAAGCCAAATAGTTGAGACTCAGGAGAAGGTCCATTAGCTGGAAATGCTGATCTTTGACACCACTGAATGCCCTCCTGGATCCTGGAGCAGGGAATAACTGAGGAGGGTTAGCAGGAACTCTGTACTGTGATGATGACACCAGGCTTTGTTGGCAGATTGCCTCTGTAGTTTGCAGACACAGCTAAGCCTTGGCAGTCCTGCTTCTGTTCCTGCTCTGGCCACGGGGGCTGCAGGGTGGTTGGGTTCTTTCTCTTCCACTGGGCCTCATTTTCCCAGAGGGGATGGGTGAGTGATTGAACAAACAGGTGACCACTTCAAACCTGCTGCTGGTGAAACACAAGCACGCCCTCTCTTGAAGTCAGTGAATCAATTAGGCTTTGCTAATTGAGGCACAATAAATTGGGATTTAGATTTGATGATCTCCTTTCCAAATTTTTGATGCAAATATTGCATTATTCAAAATTTTGTTGTCCAAATTTCTAATGTACACGTTACATTATTTGGATGTTCCTAAGGCACTAAATTCTCCTTCTTTTGGCTTTTTTAAAATGAGATGCATGTCTTTGGTTATGAGCATGAGGAAACATCAAGGCAAAACCATACATGTAGTGAACAAGAAACTGACAGCAATCAGGAATAAGCCAGGTACAACAATTAATTCAGATAATACACATAATAAATAATACATGTGAAATTAGGTAATTAGGAATCTCTGAAACACTGTACCATCATCCCAGAGTCTGTGAACAGCTGACAAACCTCAATTTAGTGAGGGCTTGGATAATTATTTCCAGATAATAATTCCCAAGCTCACTCTAAAGATAGGTTCAGCTGTCATATCTAAGGGGTCAAATTGTCAAGTCAAAGTGACCTGAATCCAGTTTTGATGCAGAAAACATTGGGTTTATTGACAAATTCTCCTTCCAGGTAGAGCTAAGGCCTGGCCACAGCCCAGGCTCCATCTGGGAGGGAATTCCCTAAACACATTTTAAAGCAAGGCAATTATGAGTAAAGGCCTTGGGGTTAAAGACTGATCAAACCATCCAGTACCTGGATCCCTCCAAAGTTTCCTTCAGGATAGAGATGCTTCAAACACAGCTAACTTCTGGAGTGCTTCTGTAATAAGTGGCAAAACCCCAAGACCAGCAGTTCAGAGGAGGCTTTCAGCAAAGCTCAAGTGTCTTTTCTTGGAAGTCTGAAAAATATTTAATTATGAGACAGCATTGGGTGAAACCATAGAGCCAGTGAGGGACTAGCCAGAGAGCTAAGCTGGTCTAAGAGATGCATAAACAAAAAAGAAGGATCCTGAAACCATGTGAGTCTTTTAATAATTACACAAAGAGATGTTAAGGCATATAAGAAGCTGGCTATAAATACAGTAATAACATCTTACAAATGATGTCTATTATAAAATCAGTAAATTCACATCATGTAATCAATATATCAGTGGTACCCTCTCAGGAAGTTGAGGTAACACCTTTCTAAACAGTCATGTACCTGTGAGAGCAAAATGAAACAAAGGAAAGCACTAAAACAGCTCACAATCAACAACAGCCACAATGGAAAATCATCACTGACTCTTCTGTGTTATCTGTGGAAGACAAAACAGCAGAGATTGTAACGAGCAATAGAATCTTCACAAAATCAATGGTGGACACACTGGATCTTCTTTATCCACAAACAGCTGTTTGTCAGCTTCCATCCCAGCTGTTTTAGTCAGAGTCATCTCTTAAAAGAAAACAGCTTTATATCTTACAGCATAGAAAGGTAATATTTAACTGTCTTAGATTGCAATGCAAGATGTAACCAGGTGTACTCTATCACCATCTGTCAAAACCAGGTGAGGGAGTGTTCTTTATCTCTTCCATGACCCATCCCTCATGACTCTGAGGGATAGCTTCTCTTCATGGGCCAGCTGTTAAACCAGGTGGGGCAGTTTTCTTTATCTCTTCCACAATGGATCCTCCCTCCAGGAGAAATCTTCTCTTAATGGGCCATTGAGTGTCCCTGCCTGGCTGATAAAATTCCATCATCCTACTGGGAGATGCTCTGCCCAGGGGGAGGAGCCAAAGCATTCCTACCTGGATATAATCTGGGCCTGGGAACAGCACAGCAGCCTTTTCCACTGGATTCCCAGAGGAACACCAGACACCACTGGACCTTGAGAGGACAACTACAGCCTTCTACAGGATCACCATGTTTGTCACTCCAGGAGGGCTGCAGCCACCATTTATTTGGACAGCTACCAACACCCTGACCCACAGGCTGTCAGGTTGGATCCTGACTTTGTCTGCTTCAGCAGTAACATTTGATTTGTGAGCTAATTATTTCTAAACTTTTAAGGAACTGCTGCAGATAAAATTCAAGGTTCTAGGACCTGGTTGAGAAATGAATTGCTGCCCATAATCTTGGGAGAAGAGGAGAGCTGCAGGCACACAGGGGAGGGGATGGAGACGATCCTGGAGCAGCAGAGGCGGTACCACAAGGAGCAGGAGCAGCTCATGGACATGATGGTGAGGGAGATGCTCACCAAGAAGTCCAAGCTCCATGACCAGCTCAACTCAGACCACCACACCTGGGCCATGCAGGACAGGTACATGGGAGTGAGCAGCAGCCTGTGGGAGCTGTGTGATGACAAGGATGGTCTGCGGGAGGAAGAGCTCGGCGCCATTTCGGGGCCAAATGAATCTGTGGAGTTTTACAACAGACTTGAAGCAATTTCAGGAATTTCACCAGAAGCACCCACATGAGATCTGTGTCCCTGTGTCAGTGGAGTTTGAGGAGCTGCTGAAGGCCAGAGTGAAGAAACTCAGAATCTGGTGTTCACAGATGAGGAAGGGTACGGACAATCCTTGGATTTGCATGATTGTTACCTCAAGTACATTAACCTGAGATCATCAGAGAAATTGGATTATATCACTCACTTAGCCACATTTGACCAGCTCTTCAGTATTCCCAAGGAGAGAAAAAATGCTGAATACAAGAGGTATCTTGAGATGCTCCTTGAGTACCTGCAGGGTTACACAGATCGAGTGGAACCATTACTGGACCAGAATGAACTTTTTGAGAAAACTCAGACGGAGTTTGAGAAGAAAAGGGAGAATGGCACATTCCCAGGCTGGCCTAAAGAGACCAGCAGTGCCCTCACCCATGCTGGTGCCCACCTGGACCTCTCAGCCTTCTCCTCCTGGGAGGAACTGGCCTTGCTGGGACTGGACAGGTTGAAATCAGCTTTGCTGGCTTTGGGGCTGAAGTGTGGTGGGACTCTGGAGAAGTGTGCTCAGAGGCTTTTTAGCACTAAAGGCAAATCCCTGGAGGCACTTGGTCCTTCCTTGTTTGCTAAGAACCCAAAGCCAAAAGGAAGCAAGAGAAACATGGAAAGAAATAAAGATCTTGCATTCCTGGGAGCTCAGATTTATGAGTATGTGGAAGTTCTTGGGGAACAAAGACACCTCACCCACGAGAACGTGCAGCGTAAACAGGCACAGACAAGGGAGGAGAGAGAGGAGGAGGAGGAGGAAGAGCAGATCAGTGACAGCGAGAATGAAGATGAAGAAAATGAAATCATTTATAACCCTAAAAATCTGCCTTTTGGTTGGGATGGGAAGCCCATCCCATACTGGTTGTATAAACTCCATGGTCTGAAATTCAGCCACAGCTGTGAGATTTGTGGTAACTGCACCTCCCGAGGGCCCGGGGCGTTCCAGGGGCACTTTGCAGAGTGGAGACACCCATGGAATGAGGTGCCTGGGCATTCCCACCACAGCACACTGTGCCAGCCTCACACAGATTGAGGATGCAGTCTCACTGTGGGCAAAGCTGAAACAGCAGAAGCCTTCAGAGAGGTGGCAGCCTGACACAGAGGAGGAGTATGAGGATTCCTCCTCGTATTCCCATATGGTGAACAAAAAGACCTACGAAGACCTGAAGCACCAAGGGCTGCTGTAGCTGTCCCTGGGTACAGGAGCACAGAGAAAATCTGCAGAGAGAGTGGATCTGACTTCTTCAATTTCTGGATTTTGTATGTGCATGAATATAGATTTCAAGAATACTTTATAGAATAGTCACTTTCTAGTAAGCCCCTTAGACATTGTTTTAGATAAAAACCAACGAACAAACAAAACAAAAAAAAGGAACAGAGGTGCAGCAGGGCAGGGGGAGGTCTGCCACACCACCCCGTATCTACAACAGGTTTCTTAGATGAACATCAATTAAATATAGATCAGCTGATGTCAAATGATGGGCAGGCAGTGCCCCAGAAAGGGGGAGGAGGGCTGAGCTGCCCTGTGCCACTGCCAGCTAGGGAAGGGACAGTTCTGTGGCACCATCCTGTGCTGCTGCACCTCTGTTCTCCCCCTAAAACACTTGTGGTTGAAAAAGAGGAGGGAAAAAGGCAAGGAAACAAACCCTAAAAACTGAACACATTTTTCTACATTTGTCTTTTGGTAATTTTCCCCTGGTAAGGAGAAAATCAACAAAAGACAAATGTAGAAAACTCTAGAGAGGCACCAAGCACCCACAGCTCTCCCCTTCTGTTTTGGAGTCTGTGAGTTCCACGGGGGACTGCTGACTGAGGGACCCAGCCCAGGTGGAGCCCCTGGGTCTGGAAAGAGGCTTTGCCACAAAAATACCGTGTGGTCCTGCTGGTCCTGCAGTTTGAGCTCTGCTGGAGGATGAGACCTGCTCAGATGGCTGCCTGTCTGCGCCATGTGGGGGTAACTTAATCCTGACAGAGGTAACTTTGCACGAGCACACAACTAAGTCCTGGTTCTGGGCTCCTGGTTCTTCATTTGTTTCTCCACATGGTTTGACCCTAATGCTGTGTGCAGCTCTGGGATAGAAGGGGAATGACTGACATGGGGCTGTGTGCTCCTGAGCATCTGCAGCAGGGACACACACAGAACCAGAGTGCAGCCTCAGGATCCACTAAATACATTTACCTAATCAGGGACAGCTCCATGACCACACAACACAGTCACAAAGCTATCAGCCTACACTCATTGTACTTTCTCTCTCCTTTTCCCAACATATTTTGCCTCTTCTAACTCACAGTTTGCCTTTCTTTCTGTGACATGTACCTTTCCACACACGTGTCATTTCCACATTCCTTTTCTATTCTGCTTGTTTCCCCACACCTCAGCAGTTGTTCACTCACCGTGGTTCTTGAGGCTGCTGTCCCCACGATTTGCTGGGCCTTTCTCTCCTCAGCAGCTCCTGGGCTGCCTCACCTTCCAGGACTCTTTGGGCCACGTTATCTCCCGAGGTTTGGAGACCTCGTTTGTGTTCTGCCACTTGCAGTTTTGTTATCACACTTTCTCTCAGGAATTGTGTTCATTTCCATGCATTCCACACCCTCTGCAGCCCCTGTGCCTGGGTTCCACTTCACTGGCTGCCTCTTGTCTTTGTTCCTGTGGCTGACTGTAGCCATCCATAGCCTTTTGCTGCTTTGTAAATTCGCTGCTTGAATTTCCTTTGGTGCTGATGCTGCAGCCATCGGTGCTGCTGGTGGTTGTGTCCCTGTGCTGTGTCTCATCTCACTGCTGTTCACTCCTGCCTTGGCCATTCTCGTGGCTGTCTCCATCTTCCTTTCATGACTTTGTAGGTTCCATCTCTAAACCCTGTCTCATTGCCTGGTCCTGGGGTCAGCTTGGCTCATTTCACCTTTTTTTGTGACAAACTGTTCATCTCGCATCAGTCACATCTTTGGGGTCTCCACATGTTGGAATAAATCAGCCAAGACTCCATTTCTTCATGCAGAAAGCAAATTGTTTATTCACAAAGCTCATATTTTTATGAGGTTTTTGAATAAAGAATTTTATTTGTAGGAAATATCAGCAGTGTGTTAAACCTAATTGGTCAGCAATGCAGTGAAATTCAGTTCACTGGTCAGTAAGGGCTTTTGTATATCTCTATCAAGTTTTTTCTCTCTAGATATGTTTACATTTTTCTTTGTGGGTTCTCATGGGACAAATCTTACTGTTTGCACAGGTGCATTTGTTTTTCATCCTCAGAATAGATTTGTGTTAGAGGAACCTCTGATTCTCAAAATAGCTTCACATGGCAACTTGCAAATTGCTTGTTAGCTGCACTTGGAAGAAATGACAGGCCAGCTTTGGCAATTTGATTTCATAAGGCCTTTCTTTTATAATTCTTCTACCTGTCTCCAACATCTCACCCTTTTCATTAATTTAAAAAAGGCTCTGTTCTGGTAAAACAGCTTGCTCTTGGGAGGGTATTATCTCATTAAGGTTATCACTGGTTATCTGTTAGATATGGGATGAAAGGCTGATTACAATCAACAAAGCTTATCAAATTCTATCAAGTCACTGACACAGC